ACATTTGACTGTAGTCTGGAGGAGGCTGTAATCTTAAAATCCTGCATCTGAATGTGAGTCTTTATTCAGACTTTAGATGTTGTGTGTTTGTTTTTCTTTTAAATATGTCAACATGTAGTTTTGTGTTTGTGCAGCTGTCTATTTTGTCTTCCCAAAAAACCTAGTCCAATCTGTTATGGGAAAACTTGTAGATTCACTGCCCTTAAAATGATTTAAGTTAATCTTAGTTTCATATCAATTTGTTCCTCAACTCTACCCAGCAAAAGACAGCAAGAAAAACTAAATAGAGGAAAATTATTTTTGTATAATTGTGGCTTTTGTGTTGAAATTGTCCATTTCAAGTCAAATACATGCTCGCCCCTTCCAATTTTAGGAAATATGTATAGACTTTACACATACAGCCCCATATTTGGAATAATTTGGCCACATTACACACACACACACACACACATACCATGTACAGTATACATCACTTCAGGGGACATTACATTGACTTACATGCATTTCCTGGAGACTTATCCTAACCTTAACCTCAACCAACACATGCCTAACCCTTACCCTCAACCTTACCCTAACCCTAATCCTAAACCTAACTAAGTCTTCACCCTAAAATTAATGATTCCCCTCATGGGGACCTCCATTTTGTCCCCATAAGGGAAGCCAGTCCCCACACGTGACTGTGTATACAGATTTAGGTCCCCACAAGTATAGTAATGCTAGGCCACACACACACACACACACACACATACACACACCACACACACAAACTCATGCATACAAACTCACCAAATATTCTGTTCCTGGGGTCTGGAGCCGCCAAAGCCAATCATGGCTGTCGGTGTGAAGTGGGCATGCCTGTTCCAGACCCCTGCAGTCCCTCTCTATGTCTGTGCTGGCCACAGACAAAACACATGCCTAATGGCACTCTGTGTGTCTATGGTTGTGTTGCTGTATGTGTGTGTACGAGTGTGTACGTGTCGCACGGTCCTCTGTATGTGTCAGGGTTTGTCTAACGCACACTGACTAGCAGGGACACCCACGCAGGGCATTTGCAAACAGACACAGGGCAATTGTTCCCGCAGCATTGAATTAGCCATGCACACATAAATACGTACACACACACACACAAACTTGGCTTTAGAGCTTGGCATGGGGCGCGAGAGAGCAGCGTGTGGTTCACTGACTCACCTCAGAAACCTCCGAAAACAATTACTGCTCTCACAGGGCTGGTCAGGGCACAGCTTGTCCTAATAGACTGGACTAAAGAATTGAATTGAACTGAATTGGATTGAATTTAAGCTTATCTGATCATAGCCTGTTTTACCACACACTGAAAGAACTAAGGCACATAAAAAAAGGTGAATCAGTGGGGTGCTTTATTATCTCTCCAGGACTTAATATGACAGAGCAGAGAGGCTAGAGAAGAGAAACGTCCTGAAGGCAGCCCAAGTAGACCCCACTCACCTATCATTAGGCATGGTTCTTTCATGTATGCTCTTAGGCACTCACTTTACTTTTACCTACATGTCTGTGTGTGTGAGAGACAAAGAGGGAGAAAGAAAGTGTGTGTGTGTGTGTGTGTGTGTGTGTGTGTGTGTGTGTGTGTGTGTGTGTGTGTGTGTGTGTGTGTGTGTGTGTGTGTGTGTGTGTGTGTGTGTGTGTGTGTGTGTGTGTGTGTGTGTGTGTGTGTGTGTGTGTGTGTGTGTGGCCATATGCTAATGTTAGTCCGTCTCTCTGTCTCTGACTCTCTGCGGGGCCCAGTGCTGGGGCCTTTGTGAGATAATCAGCATAATTCTTTTGACAAATACACATGGTTATTCTTAATTAGTATCACACACTGTCCCCCCGGCCGCACCATGCCTCTCCACCTGAATATCACACACATACACACAGAGCTGTGCACTTGCACACACACACTTCTAGGGACACATGGGCACAAAACAAGATGCATGCAGATGTGAGCTTGTTAGGATACATGCAAATGCACACAAATAGATACCAATAAAGATGCATTTGCACCAGGTTCAAGGAGCACATGGAATATAGGTTACACATGCAGAAACACTGACACACACACACACACTGTCCAGAGGACCCTTGCTGTAGCTCAGCTCACACACCAAAGAGAAGACAGAATGAGGATTTTAGAAATTAAAGATTGAATAAATTGCTTCCTTGGCCTCAATGCTAAGTTGTGTTGAACCATGTAAGATCTGAGGACTCTTTAATGTTTAAATTAGAGAGACCTCTTCCTGTCTCTTCTCTTCTTTTCCTATCATTGTCTCTTTTTCTCTACATCTGTCTTATTTACACCTTCTTTCCTTTATATCTGTGCAAATGTGTCTTGCACCCCCCCATCTCTCCCTTTCTCTCTTGACTTAATGCTCTCCCTCTGTTCTTTTGCATTTGGCATGATTAACTAGTGACTTTGATCATCCACACACACATGTACAATGAATTTAGTTTGACGAGAACCTTTTGCTTTCATATTTCACATTGTCGCGATTCATGTGGTCTTCATGTGTTGGACAGTTTTTTTCAAAAGAACATTTGTCAAAAGCAGCTACACTCTGCTGCAGTCTTGGACAGTCATTCCAGTTCATCTTTCTGATACTGCAGCAAAAATGTAAAATCCTCCACTAGAACCTGGCCAAAATCTTACAAAATGAAAGCATACATACGTATTGCTAGATTGCAATATAACCCTCGCCCCACAATTGGTGCTAAAATTGACATGCATCCAAAAATAAACTGACATGTAACTGTTTCATCCTACAGATATGAAGGTCAAATTCTGTACGATATACCTAAAATATGAAACCGGAAAAAAATAAAGTTGGACTTTTGAACTGTGTGGTATTTTCTATTTGTACACTCCGTAATGTCTTTATTTTGTTAAGTGTGTGTATTTTTGTCTACATTTTCCGTTATAAGCTACGATGAAAGCATGTTGGGTGTGTGTCTGCACATGAGTATGTATGAGAGAGAAATTGTTATTGGGGGAGCTGTTAATGTAATGTAATAGTATGTGTTTTAGTGTTGCACCATTTGATTACTGCCTGTCTGCGCATCTGTATGTGTGTCGGTTTGTGTGCACTTAGCAGGCTGAGGTGGGGAATTTCATAGTGCTTGATCGCGTGTGTGTGTGAGTGTTAGTGGGCTGTTAATGTGGTGTGTTTCAGTGATAAAGTGTTTGAATGTATTGCCATCTAGAGGCGTGTAGCAGAGTCTCCATGCTCCTATAAAAGCTGCCAGCGCCAGATGCTGCTATTGACAATGTGCATATGTTAACCACTTTATAGGCCACATGCCTCACATATTTCACTGGCTTTTAAGGTAGAGAGATCTCTCATTCTCGCTCACTTAATCTGTCTCTCCCTTTTGCCACATTTATCTTTTTTTCTCTCTCCCACTTTAGCTTTCTTCTATCTTTTTTTAACCATTCACTCAATCTCTCTCTGCCTTACTCTTTCTCACACCCCCAACCTTCTGTCTCCTCTTTTTTTTCATCAGTTATTAACTTACTCACCTCGTTCTCTTTTATATCCCTCTTTTCCAATTCTCTGTCCTACATCGCCTTACTTATGTATACTTAATTTTATTCCGATCTTTCTTTACTTCTTTCTGCCCTAATTTCTCACTACCACCGCCCCTTTCCCTTTCAATCTCTCCATCCCTGTGTCTCTCTCTTTGCGTCCCTCCCTCCCTCCCTCTTTTACTGAGAAGTGCTCTGATTTGCAGGAGGATTTAGCTCGTGTCTAGGTGTCTAGGGGCTTATTAATCCTATTTTACTGTGGATGAAAAACACGTTGGCTCCCAGACATGAAAACAGTGAATACATGCTTTCTGTTGATGTTCAGACAGTTCATCCTTGGTGCCACGCTACGGTGATTTGTCAGGGTTTTCATTCGATTCAGTTTCTATTGGAGCCTTTTTGATCCTCTTGCCGTTGCATTGAAGTTGGTTACCAGTTAATCTCTTTACATATGCTTGCTTATGTGAAATACAGTCCTGAATAGACAAGCTTTTCAAAACTGCAAACTCAACCCATGAAAAAAATATAGCCTGCTATGTTGTACAAGCACAGAAGTATGTTCACACACAAACACACACACACACACACACACATAAACATAAACATCAGTCTCATAGCTGCTTTAGAGCTCACAGTCATAAACAAACAAACAAACAGGCAGTTCCGGAGACTAGTGCTCCCTCACTACCATGTCATTGCACGCCAGGGCATTTTCAAACAACAGTGCGTCTCTTATCAATTAGTAGGTGTTCCCACTGTAACACACACACAGACACACAAACACACACACACTTACACAAACACACTGCCCCTGTGTCTGCCAGGGTGTTGGGCTGGGTCCCACTGCCTAAAGCTACTGGCAGACCCACTCCTCCTGTGTCTGTGTGTTTATGTCAGTGTGTGTGTGTGTGTGTGTGTGTGTGTGATATGAAAGGGTGCATGTGTGACACAAACACTCAATCTGGAAGCTTTGAATTCACCCATGAGGGACGGCCGTCTGCCTGCCAGTCTCTCTGTCTCTGCCACTTCTCTGGTGTGTACTTACTTTACCACGGCAGAGCCTGTATGTTGAAATGTTGATATCACAAATCCCATGTCAGGTCATCTTAGCTCGCCATTGTTTCAGTGTTCCTTTTCATTCCCCATTTTAATGAGTGATGCACTGGTTTTTATTCATGCAGGATTTGTTTGTGTAACTAACTCGCTCTCTTCTCTTGCTGTGGCATGCTCCTCACTTTGCTGTGTCCCTTTCAATCGCCGCTCTGTTTTCTTTCTCCTTTCAACTCGTGCCAAATCGTTCCTTTGTCTTCACTCTTTTCTCTCTTATATCTCTTTGCCCTATAACTATCTGCATCAAATCCTAATCTCCTACATTTTTCTCATTCTTATTTTTCATTTTGTCTCTATATATATATAATGTCATATATCACATCGTATGACACCGTTGTCTCTCTTTCCTTTTCAGGGTTCAGTCTTAGAAGCAACAGTCTATGGTCTTGAACCGCACACTCAGTATAGTCTACGAGTGGAAGCTGTGAACGAGGCAGGTAAGTTGAAGATGGTCAATAACTCATTTAAAATATCAAAAATAAGGCTGTCACAATATCAGATTTTCACTACAGGATTATCCACAATAACAAAATGATTGCAACATCTACAGAACAGAGATAATTTGAGAAGCACTGAATTATTATTACTATAAGTGTATTAATACCATTTTACCAATGTTTCATATTTTAAATATCCTCAATTCTGGTATGTCACCCCTAATCAAGAATGAATAATATCAGCTCCGACCATTGAAACATTCATTGAGCAAAGAACATATGTGTAACCCTTCAGGTAGCGTGTCCAGTCCCTGGGTCTCCATCAGGACTCTGGAGGCTTCTCCTGCTGGCCTGGCTAACTTCACGGTGGAGCAGAGAGAGCAGGGCAGGGCGTTACTGCTGAGCTGGGATCAGCCACGTGCTCCAAATGGAATTATCACGGTACCTCCAAAACACAGTACAAAGACACAGAACATGTACCCGGGTGTAAACACAGAATTGAGCAGATCACGTGATGCAAGGTGCTCCTCAGTTTAAGTCAGTGTCACAAGAAGAAACATCCAATAGATACCAATATTATACATAGACACATACAAAAGCTAGCGAGTTGATTATAATCACTAATGTTACAAACGTACAAGACACAACATTGACCCATGTGATTCAGCTATTCACATATAAGCACACACTTTACATATATTCTAATACACACTACATGCACAGCAATAGGCCTGCATCTGTGCCACTACCATATAACAGAAAGACTATTTCTGTTCTTCTCTGATGTCTTTTTCCCTCTATCTGCTTGGCATCTTTGTCCCTCCTCTCTTTCCACTTTGTCTTAATATGACTTCTGTTTCTCTCCTTCTCTCCCACTGACTGCATACTTGTATTTCCCCTCCACTGCTTTCCCATGCTCCCTTTCCAGATGTACAACTTGTACAGTGAGGGGAACTTGGAATTCAGCGGCTTATCACGCAACTTCCTGTTTCGCCGTTTGGAGCCATGGACCATGTATACTTTGACTCTTGAAGCTTGCACCTTAGCAGGCTGCACACACTCCCCTCCCCAGCATGTCACCACCGCAGCAGCTCCACCTGCTTCCCAGCCCCCTCCCAGGCCTCTCTTGGTGGGCCCAGACCATGTGTCCCTTACCTGGGGCCCTCCCTCTCAGACCAATGGGCCAATCGGAGAGTATTCTTTAATTGGGAGAAGTCTGGAGGAATTCGGCAGGGAAAGAAGTAATGAAGACGATGTTGACAGAGGAAAGGTAGGTTCAATTAAAGACAGTTCATGGTAATATTTACTATTTCTCTTTACACTGAAAGAATAACGAGGTGCCACCAATATCCATATGAATGAGAGTTTTTAAATCAATATTGTGTTTGTACCACATAACCTTAATCATCCCCGGCTTTCTCTAACAGGTGCTGTTCAGAGAATCATCCCCACAACATGCTGACAGCTTCTCGTATACAGTGACTGGTCTGCGTCCCTGGACACGGTACGAGTTCAGCGTCCAGACTCACAACCCTGCCGGACACACCCGCAGCCCCTGGGTAACCGTGACAACCAAACAGGCTTCCCCTCGAGGTCTGGCTCCCCCGACAGCGAGTCACCTCCAAGGCCAGCCCAGTAAGGTGTTGGTTGCCTGGTCTCCCCCTTTGGAGCCCAATGGGATACTTCAGTCCTACAGGATTCAGAGAAACAATGTCAGCTTCTCCTTTAGTTTTGACCCTACTGTGCTCAGCTACACCGACGAAGACCTCCTGCCATTTTCAACATATAGGTACTGCTTGCTTTTACTCATACCATTGTGTTTCTCAAATGAACAAACGTAAAGCTTGCTTATGGAAATAACAACCATGAAAAAACTCGTAACTTTTTCAAACAATGATTAAACTTTGATTCTATTCTATTAATTTCTACAGCTACTCCATTATAGCGTGCACGTCTGAGGGGTGCATCAACAGTCCTCACACAAACATCACAACTCTGCAGGCTCCACCTGCGACAGTTGAAGCTCCCGCAGTGGACAGCATCACATCCAACAGTTTGAACATTTCCTGGAGTAAACCACTCACACAGAATGGAGAGGTCACAGAATATGTGCTGAAACTGAACAACCAAGAAACGTATCGTGGGAGAAACCTACATAAAGTGTTGTCTGATCTGCAGCCACACACGTCATATCATCTGGTCCTTTCAGCTTGTACCAGCGGTGGGTGCACCAGCAGCGACCGAAAATCAGTTGTGACTGGGGAGGCTCCTCCCACTGGCTTAATTCCCCCGACTCTTAAGGTGTGTTTGCTTACTTTAGACATTCAATTAAAACCTATGCAGTACCTAAATATTTTCATTATAGTCCAGAAAGAATCAATTTGACTTACTTAAATATCAATCATCCAAAGTCAATATAAATTAGCCTCTTGTACAAATGTGCCAAAACTCATAAGCACTGATTATTGAATCATCTATAAAACAAGTACAAAATTGTGGGGAGATTTGTTGAGTTTTAATTGTTCTTACACCACTGATAGCTCTGTTTAACGGGACCTTTCAACTTCCCTTTAAGGTCACTGGTCCAGAGTCAGTGGAGGTTAGCTGGAGACAACCAGAGCACCCTAATGGCATCATCACGGGATATGAACTCCGCAGAGATGGTGAAGTTATCTATGTCGGCACAGAGACCCACTACCACGACTTTACACTTCTTCCAAGCGTTGAATACAGCTACGTTGTGAGGGCCAACAACAGTAAAGGTGCAGCGAGCAGCGCGGCAGCCTCAGCAAAGACTCCCCCGTCAGCTCCTTCTGGGGTCGGTCTGCCCACACTGACACCTCTGGGACCAAGCCAGGTAGTCATCCATCTCCTCAGTCCATATAAGTAACAGCTGGATCATGTCATCACTAATGCTGAGATTTATCTCCCTACTGTCTTTACATCGATGTTAAGAAGTGTTTATGTTGTTTCCAGTTGCGGGTAGAGTGGAGTACTCCGGCCCGTCCCAATGGAGACATTTTGAATTACACCGTGCATCAGAGAGATCCAGTCCATCTCAGCAGCTCCAGCACTGTGTTCACTCCAGAGGACGGGGGCTTCTCTGCTCAACACACCACTCTGCATGGGCTGGCTCCTTACCACAGGTCACTCACAACAGATCCCCACCACTGTTTACATTTAGGTTTTTATGCAGCAGTTTATACATTTGATATATGGCACATATATAAGACAAAACAATGTGTACGTTTTTTTTGGTTAATACATAGAGCCAAGATCAAATGTTTTAAAGCAATTTCCTATCCCCTTGTGTTATAAAAACTGAAATGAAGAAAATATGAGAAGCAAGGTCACGCTGTCACTCACACCTACGCTGTCATTGGAGGCAGTCGCAATTTCTACAGGCTCGCACTTACCTGTTAGCATCTGTTAGCATTGTCTTTTTTATTTTCCTGCGATGATGGTTCTTCAGGACTGCTTCTTAAGCTCTAATCACACTCTCGCAGACTTTTCCGGTGTTTCTAAATTAGATGACAATGTATTTGTGTCGTTTAAGAGGAAAAGATGCTTGGTTTTTTTGTTGTTATTACTGTCAGGAAATGTACAACCTAACCTGGTCCGCCCAGTAGTAGTAGTCAGATCGCTACTCCTGCTGATTTTAAAGCTAGGTCTGGGTTGGGTTTCATCCACTTGAATGTGCGCAGTCTGTTAGGTAAACTAGATTTTGTCCGTATCTGGGCGAGCTCGACTGACGCTGACGTCATTGTCTTATCAGAAACATGGCTAAACAAATCTATTTTGGCCTCTGACATTGCCTTAAATGGTTTTAATGTGTATCGTACCGACCGGCCTAATAAAGGTGGTGGCGTTGCCATTTATGTTAAGAATAAGTTCAGTGTAACCACATTAGTTTCCAAATCGATCAGTAAGCAATTTGAATTTTTAGCCATAAATATAGAAGTGGCAAAGGGTCAACAGGTCATGGTAGTGAGTTGTTACAGACCCCCCTCAGCTGTCAAAGACTCCTTGTCTTCACTAGCAAATATTTTATCACAACTAGACTACAAGGAAATAGTGCTACTTGGAGATTTTAACTGGGACTGGTTAACTGCAGTGTCAGAGGATTTTAAAAACCTTTGTATCTCTTTGAATGTTACTCAGATTGTTGACAGTCCTACTCGCCCAAATATTAAGTCCCCTAATAAATCCTCCCTAATTGATCTCATTCTAATGCTCCCTATAAATACTTATCTGTGGGAGTATTTGCAAATGATCTGAGCGATCACTGTGTTGTGGCCACAATTAGGGACACTAAGGTTCAAAAGGTTAAACCTCGTATTATTATTAAGAGAGACAAAAAACATTTTGTGGAGCAGGGTTTTGTGCATGATCTGTTTGATTTTGATTGGGGTAAAATCGATCTGTGTGCTGATGTGGAAACCGCATGGTCTTATTTTTCTCTTGGTTTTATGGAGATCATTGATAGACATGCACCCCTGCGTACATTTAGAGTAAAGGGACGAGACAATCCTTGGTTTTCTGCTGAGCTGTCTAGTGTCCTTCATGAGAGAAACAAGGCCTGGGCAAAGGCTAGGCAATCAGGCTCAGAGGTAGAGTGGCTGCGTTTTAGGCAGCTAAGGAATAGCTTCACTTCAAATGTCAAAAGTGCTAAGTCGAAGTACTATTTGTCAGTTACCACAGAAAACCTAAATAATCCTAGGAAATTTTGGAAAGCAATAAAATCGATATCCACCGGTGAGATCCGTAATGAGCTACCTCCGTGCCTTACCACAGCATCTGGCACTATATCGGACAGGGCCACTATGTTAAATTGCTTTAATGAGCATTTTGTGTCCTGCGGTTCTATGTTTGATTCTGTGACTAACTCTGCTTCTGTGAACACCCCAATCCGTGACTCTGAACAATGTGGTCTGGAAAACCCTTTCAGTTTTACTCCTTTTACTGTCAATGTTGTTCATGAAGCCTTATCTAAGCTAGATCCTAAGAAACCGGCTGGCCCGGACAACGTAGAACCTTTCTTTTTAAAGATAGCTGCAGATTTTATTGCTCTTCCTCTTACTACTCTTTTTAACCTCTCCCTCGGCACAAATGCAATTCCAAAAGTATGGAAGTCAGCTTATGTCTTGCCTTTACTAAAAGGAGGGGAGGCAACTATTTTAAATATCTATAGGCCAATCTCTAAATTGTCAGTTCTGGCGAAGGTGCTCGAACGCCTAGTGAGTGAACAGGTAAAGGAGTTTTTATGTAAAAATGATATCCTGTCTAAACATCAGTCAGGCTTCAGAAAGCAACATAGCACCATCACTGCCACAATGAAAGTGGTGAATGACATTACGAGTATTTTAGACAATAAGCAGAGTTGTGCAGCTCTATTTATTGACCTTTCCAAAGCGTTTGATACCGTCGATCATTGCATCTTAAAGCAGAGGCTACTCAGTATCGGCATATCCAGCCATGCAGTGGTTTGGTTTGTGAACTACCTCTCTGAAAGGTCCCAATGTGTTCACTTTGATGGGCTGTCTTCTGAGTGGTTAAACATTGCTAATGGTGTTCCTCAAGGTTCTGTTTTAGGTCCACTTTTATTCTCCATATATATCAACAGTTTAGGTGAAAATGTGGATGAAGCTACTTTACATTTTTATGCTGATGACACCGTGATGTATTGTGCAGGTCCCTCCATTAAGGAGGCTGGTGTTAAATTACAGGCTGTTTTTAACATTATTCAGACTCAGCTTGCTGAACTTAAGCTTATTTTAAATGTTGATAAAACCAAGGTAATGCTATTTACGAAAGCTAAAAAGACACCAGAGCCTGTTTTGGATATTGTTACTATGCAAGGACAAGTACTTGAAGTGGTTACCAGTTATAAATACCTAGGTATCTGGCTTGATGATTGTCTTACTTTTAAACTTCATGTCAATTACCTGCTTAAAAAGCTGAGGGTTAGACTAGGTTTCTTTTTCAGAAACAAGTCCTGTTTCTCTTTTGTCACTGTGACCTTTTTACCTGTGCTGGACTATGGTGATTTGATCTATATGAATGCACCTGCCCATTGCCTGGAAAAGTTAGATGCCGCCTATCACAGTGCCCTGAGATTTGTTACTAACTGTAAAGCACTTACTCATCACTGTATGCCAAGGCAGGTCTGCCTTCACTAACTGTACGGAGGCTCAGTCATTTGGTACATGTTCATTTACAAAGCCATGTTGGGTAAACTACCTTTTTATATCTGCTCTCTGATCTCTCGACGAATTGAAAGTACATATTGCCTGAGATCTCATGATGTTGTTTTATTAAATGTGCCAAGTGCTAGGACTGTCTTAGGGAAGAAAGCTTTTAGTTGTGCAGCTCCACTAAATTGGAACAGTCTGCAAACATGTTTAAAACTGAGCACTTTGGTTCCCCTGCATCATTTTAAAACTCAGCTGGGTGACATGCTGTTTGATACTCATGGTACCTGTCTCTGTAAATAGAGTTTGTAAACTGTACCCTGTACATTATGTTGTATGTCATCCTTATTGTTGTTCTGTTGTTTTTATGTGTAACTAATGTCCTGCAGGTCACCCTTGAAAAAGAGATCTTTTGATCTCAAGGGGCTTCACCTGGTTAAATAAAGGCTACAAACAAACAAGGGAACATAGTGCCATCTATTGGTAGCAAAAAACAAAACATTTTGGTAGACTCTTTGAACAGTAAATAGCAGAGCTCTGTTCATTGGATTATCATTTTAATCAATAATAACCTTAATTTTCCTAAAAACATTCACTAAATAGGAGAAAGACGGAAAAAAGTCCCAAACCAGTATGTTTAAATATTTATACAACATGCCTTCAAATGAAAAATAATCTTAGGTAAGGTATAAAAGATGAACATCACTGTGGGGTTCTTACCGCAGTGTTGACCCTTGAATACTTAATAGTAATTAATAAATAAGTCAAATGCTGTATTTCTGAAGCCTGTGCAATAAATTAGAATACTAATGCACTTAGCAAAATGCAAATATCTTGTTGAAAAACAACCTCTCAAACAGGCTGTCAAAAGGACATTGTTGTGATCTTACAAAGCAGGAATTACAGAGAGACTTTGGTAAATAAAAGTGAGTCACCCTTTAAGCAGTAGTCATGCACCCATCATGTGACAGTTCAGTATAAACAAAAAAATGTATATGCGCGTATGTCTGTGTGTGTAAGGTTGCGTATGTGCAAGTGTGGGTGTTTCTATACCTGTGTGTCAGTGTGTATGTGTGAGAGCGTGTACGTGGTGATAAGATTCAGATAATAAAAGCTCATCAACCTTATCATCTATAGATCGCTCCCCCTCTCTGATGACCTTCTATCCATTCAACTCATCTTCATCACCTTCCCTCTCTTTTTCTCCCCCTCACTCCTCTCCTTCATCTCAATTATTTTCTTTCCATACAATTTTTTTTTTCCAAATTAATTACTGAGTAATGTGGGTTAAATAGATATTCGTTTGAGAAAGACATTATTTCAAACATGCTGTCAATAGAGGGATTTTGATTGAACAATTGCTTCACTTGCTGAGCTCTTATTCTTTATGTTTTCAGTATTTAGGTCCTACGTTAGCTCAGTACACCAGTACCACTGTCTTTGATTGCCAAGATGTTGATGTTTTTTAAGCATCTAATTCAATATTTCACAACTAAATATTTCTAACATTTCAAAACATGTGCCTGTGTGTATGTGTAGGTATGAGGTGAGGGTGGAGGCGTGCACAGCGCTCGGCTGCTCCGCCAGTGACTGGTCCTCTGTACTCACTCTGGAGGCTCCCCCTGCTGGACAAACAGCGCCACTGTTAGACCTCCAGCCTGACGCACACACAGGCCTGCAGACCACCTTTCTACTCACCTGGTCCCCTCCAGCTCAGCCTAATGGTAGAGTCCTTCACTACGAGGTGTACCGCAAACTAGACCATACCACTGATACCCTGGGAAGTGAAGCAGCGACACTTGTCTACTGGAACGCCTCTACCACCTGCAGAGATGAAGCACTCCAGCCATATACTGTATATCAGTATCAGGTACAATGCTCCGTGCATTTATATGTGTGTTTTTGTTGATAATAAGAATTACAGCAAATTCCAACTGGTTATTCCTGGTAAACTGTAATGTATTGAAACAATAAGATAAGGATAAGAGGTACTTTATTGATCCCAAATTGGGAAATGTTTGAAAAATAAGAAACAAAGAAGGCATTGCACATAAGTAGAAATGAAAGAGTACAAATAAACAATACTAGAAATTAAACATCTCAAAATAGAATTAAAACAGCATTAAAAAGTAGAAAATATACAGTAGACTGAAATATATATATTTTTTAATAATATTTATCAAGATCTGAGGGAAAGTGGAATTGTTCCTTATGATATTACTAAAAATAGTCTAGTATCAAACTCTGATGCATACCTGAGGTTGTTATAGATTTGAGCCTGTGTTTACATTTACAGACATAATGGGACTATATAATGAACAGTATTTCTTCAAGAAAATACTTATTCAATAAATACTAAATCTGTTGCGAATCACACAATTATATGAAAAAAAGAAACGCAAGCACACGTGTTCTGCATATACATAAATATGAAAAGTTATTGTCCTCTGCAGTGACTGTAGGAACAGAGTGAAAAGTTGTATTGTGATTTACGAGGTTAGTGTGGAGTAACTCATTTGTAGTTGAGATCTGATGTGAATGACGCATCAGACGATGGCCTGTTTTCTAAATTAAATGTTTCCAAAAGTCCCGACGCAGACACACGGATCCCATACAAACCTCAACTAATAAAGTCTATCCTTACCATACACGCCGACACACAGGAACACAAACACCATGTAATCAGACAGGTGTTAAATGGTGTGGTCCATATTCATGCTGTTGTGCTGTGCGTTGCTACGCTAATTGACAGGCTAGCCCTTTGGAAGCAACAATAACATTAGCATTCCTGCCTGTCAGACGTACGAGCTGAGGCCAGAGAACCTGTGTAATTGATTGAGTTTGCCTGATTGTGGTGCCGTCTTTATTTACGAGGGTCCTAATTTATGACAGGAGGAGGGAGGGAGGAGGAGCTTTGGGAGATGACGGGCGGGCAACAGCACCATTAATCACTGGGCCCTCAGAGCACCCCACTTCCTGATTACCAGCCAGCCAATCGAATTAACTGTTAGCCCCCTTGGTAACAGAGCTTGTATTGGAAAGACCTTTTAATGGTGACCGCTACACGTCCCCTGAGGATTTGTCAAAGGGGGATTGGGGTGCGTGGACAAGGTGGTTGTATAAGTGTGAACACACATGTACACAGTATTACTCTGTGTGTGCACGTAAACATATGTGAGTGTGTGTGTTAGAGACGGTGAAGCGAAGAAACAATATAACTTGTTGGCTATTCATATCATGTATCTCTCTATTTCTAAGCAGTAAGTTATACTTTCTCTCTCTATCAACATTTCTTCTAAACTAGCCACCTGTTGGTACGTCTATCTTTCTGCCTGGTTTTATTTTTGTTTAGCTGTTAATCTCTCTGTGTACCTATCTGGCTCTCTTCATCTCTGTCTATGTTTCAGGCGTACACAAGGACGATAAGTCAGTTCAGTTTAGCACACCACAGTGCAGAGAGAGAAATCATATTAGGCTAATTACACTGGGTCATAAGCTCCTATTGACAGCTTTATGCTTGGTTTTAATTACTGCCCACTTTCACACAACTTAGCCCCTTCACCCCAAGTAGATGCACCCGCCAAGTAGCGTCGACGGCCAATCGGAGTGCTCAAATCGAGTCCGCAGTCAAACCATCCAATAAAAATGCTTTAATACTTGCTGGTAGCTTCCTGGAGTCGTTTGTTGCCATGGTGGCTCATTTGCTGCCATGGCAGCTAACGGGTTGTATTTTTATTTTGTGTCCAATAAGCCAAAACCCGGCCCAATAGGAGGAGAGAGGACAAGAGACCAAAGAAAGCCGTAAAAAGTCTGTAGATGATATAGGGACGGAGAGATGAGTTCTACCTTTTAGCGCTGGATCAAGGGCAAGGTGATCTGGGCTGACTTTATTTTTAAACTTTTTTTCTCTGTTCTGTCTATGTGGCACAAACTTCTTAATCAAGCCCAAAAGCCTTGCGTCATGTTGGGGATTTAAATGTGTTGCTACCAGGGGAAGAACATGGTTGTTGCTGGGTAGAAATATTTCATTGCTGCAGTTAGATTTTGATGTGATGCCAGGTAGTAAATGTTACTGAAACAGTTTGAAGCAACAAGTCAAGTCCCATTAGAAATTACATGTGTAGTATCTTTCATTTAGTGGTAATGTATTTTTTCTTTAGGCTTTCTAACCTGGCATGTTATATCATTTCTAAAGGTATACCGTTCTACAAATGTGATAACAATAACAGCTTTAGTACTTACTTACAAGTTAACAATCTAACCATAAAAGCTACAATAACACATTGTTAGCATAATTACATAACATAGGGAAGAAATCAAATCTCAGTTTACTTATTTGCAAGTACATGCAGATACTATTACATTACTTCATTTATTACAGAGTTTCACACAAACAAGGTGCAGCAGGTTAAAAGTAAAAAAAAGACAGCAAAACAGGATGAATACATTATTAGCAGTAAACATGGTTAAAAGGAGCTGGTGGAGTTAGTGCGGGCCACAACAATGGACAATCACATCAGCCACTCTCATCCCCTTTAAAAGCAGAAGACAGTTTCATGGGCCAGTGGACGAGTCGAGGCCAGTTTGTCCAGATGAAACTAGTCAACACACAAAAACAATACCCCAAATAAGCGTTCAAGGGCAGATGTCCCTTTTCAGTTTAATAGATTAGACACTAACATTTTATTTTTGTGAAGTAATTTTATCAAGTGACTATAAAAGCTGCAATCACATATCTGCACACAATAAGGCACCTGCTACAAATACGGAGAAAAAACTTGACTGTGGATACTCAACCAGTATCCACAAAAGTATAAAACGGAAAAGCTAAAAATGTCTCCTGCCTCCTCTCTTTGTGCCCTGTCCACCCTTCCTCCTGTCCTCTTCCTCCCCGTTCCAAGTCTCTCCATCTTCCATTCTTCTTTCCCCTCTCCCATCTCAGTCCATCTGTGCTGTCACTTAGATCAATCAGTCTGATTGATCACAGCCTAATTGACTATTATTGAGGTTAATTCCACTCTTAACACACTTGCATGCACAGGCGTGCACGGACAAAACTCGCCGTCACAGCGACCAACACATCACACACACAGAGACACACACTTTCAACAGAAAAGCTCAGACTCATCCATCTGCCTTCTGCACTACTTCTGACAGGCTACAGATGACTTACACATGCAAATCTCCACCCTGACTGACCCTGTGCTGTGTACACCCTCTAATTATACCCAACACAGGCACACAAATAAGATGTGTGTGTGTGTGTGTGTGTGTGTGTGTGTGTGTGTGTGTGTGTGTGTGTGTGTGTGTGTGTGTGTGTGTGTGTGTGTGTGTGTGTGTGTGTGTGTGTGTGTGTGTGTGTGTGTGTGTGTGTGTGTGTGTGTGTGTGTGTGTGTGTGTGTGTGTGTGTGTGACTCCTTGATGAAGGTGAAAAGTAATTGTCATGCAGATATGTTCGTGTTGCGTTGCATGTTGAAAAGGTTTTGCTCTCACTGCTGATGGTAGTTTTGATCGATGGCCCGATGAATTTATGTATTTTCTTTTGGTGGTCTGGTGGATACTGGGTAATTAAGAGAAGCTTTCATCATTGAGAGTTAGTAAAATGCATCTAAAAGTCCAATGACGGGAGAATAAGACTGTCAGGTTCTCATTTTGTCTCAGATGTTCTTTCTATTGTTGGCATCAAATGTATGCATGTTTACACAGGTGTGGGCGGTGAATTCGGCCGGTCGGTCTGCCAGTCCGTGGGCCAATGGGAGAACAGGACCTGCCCCACCTGAGGGTGTAGGCCCACCTATTTTCCTTCGTGTTTCAGCGACCTCAGCAGTAGTGAACATCCGCCCTCCAGCACGACCCAACGGGATTGTTAGCCTTTACCGAGTGTTCTCAGTGAACCACAACAACCACACTCTGGTAAAGCATTTCATTACACACTTGTTTGAAATCAGTTTCTTTACTGGATTCCTACAAACCCCTTTTCTGTGTCACTCACACGTATTCCCTCTTCACCCTCTCTTTCCATCCAAAATGTGCTTTGATATGATCTGACCTCCCAAAACGTAAACATATCTCACCCTCGCACAGCTTTCAGAGGGGACATCCCATCAGCAGACACTCCATGGTTTACGTCCCTACACCCAGTACTGGGTAGGAGTAGAGGCCTGCACCTGTTATAAGGTAATGGAACTAATGTGTGTACATAGTCAATTGTTTCATTTCTTCTTTTATCTTTAATATTGTTATGCATGCTTCTTAATTAATACTAAGCTATCTTTGGCTCTTTACTTGCTTTCCCCTCTGTGGGACAAATAAAGGAGTTTGGATTCCGACATAACATCTGTGAGATTCAGTCTGCTGCTAATCTGGTCTACTAGTTACAAAATAGCACAGTACACTTGACACACTGACAGATACACAGAACAAATATATAGTATTTTGGAGTTTAGAAGTAAAGTATCCAGGCATGATTTATAAAGAAAAACAAAGCACACAATATGTAACTGTGGATGTTGTATCCCTGTTTTGATCACTTGGCAGTGCTGTAGCCAGGGTCCTCTGAGCGAGCTACAGACCCTGGCTGCCCCCCCGGCCCACCAGCCTCCCCCCCGCCCCGTCACCCTGACGACCCGCTCTGTGCAGCTGGAGTGGGACGAGCCTCTGGCACCTCATGGAGTCATTGAGAGGTGAGTCGGAAAAATCACAAGCTCGCATCGTTCAGTGTATTTTCTTTTTGTTCAAAACTGTTAGCACAATGGTTTACACAGACTCCACAAACAGTAACACACATACCATAACTCTCACTGTTACTCACTTTCTCTCTATTTGCCAGCTGTGAGCTACATCTCAGATCACCTTGCCCGCAGCCCCTCCAGCCTGTACCCCTCCCTTGTGCCGAAGGACCAATAGAAATCAGTTTCTTTGGCAAAAGGCGGAGCTACAATGTGACAGGTAAAGCCTAGATATTTTTCAAATGTACAAAGATGTCCAATGAAAATAACTTTTTCATCAGTAACAAAACTAGAAAACTATAATAAGTGGCAGAAATAATAACCACAGTGATATAATTATAAAGATCTGAACTAACAAGTATTAGAGTTCAGAATCTCCAGTACCGAGTGACGCATGATAAGGTAATGTCTGTCTTTGTTGTCTGTAGCGTATTAATGAGCAACTGGATTATTCTGTGCAGGTCTCCAGCCGTACTCCACCTATCAGCTGAGAGCTGCCTGCTTCAATAAAATGGGCAGCACTGCCTCCAACTGGACGACTGTTACCACACTCAGCGAAGGTAACACCTTTTTCCAATCCCTCAACACTGCCAGCTAAAATAAGAAATATAAAACACGTCTAATTGTTCTGCTGTGTGCCCTCTCTATCTCTCCCTCTCTCCATCCAGCCCCCCAGTATGTGTCTCCCTTCTCGGTGGGCAGCAACCTGACAGTCATCTGTCTGGACTGGACCGAGTCCTTCTCCCTGAACGGGTATCTGAAGGAGTTCAGTGTGACCGAGAGCCAGCTGAGGGTCTACACCGGCTTCTACAGCTATCTCCATGTTCCACGCATCTCGCAGAAAAGTGAGATTACACATACCAAACACAGCTGCTGCATATATGCACTTTCACGTTTATACCAGGTAGTAACATAGATAAATACACCTTTTTTGGGAAGAATATCTATCTCTACTGACAACCATAATACACACTTATGCGAAGGCAGTGTACTCCAATCAAAATGTGTTTTCTTAGACTGCTAAATAATAAAATATAAAATATTTTAAATATATACTAGAATGACAGTATTAAAATAAAAACATGAATGGATAAATAAAAATAGTATAACTTTATCTAACAGGATAAGTTAACACATATCATTCCTTATGTAATATGGTGGTTATTGTCAAAGGATGAAATATTGTTTTAATCAATTTCTGCCTGACTTCTGCATGACCCATAACAATAATGTGTCATTGCCCATTATTGTTATATGTTGTTATTGATGTCATGAACACATATCATGTTAACTTTTTGTTTTGTTGAGTCTACATATCTAATTCTTCAATGCAAAACATATTTAATTGTCTTTCAGGCAGGTAATGAGTAACCCTTCTTCCCCTCTGCTCTTAGCTCTGTCATTTCAGGTGACGTGTACCACAGACAGTGGCAGTGCCAGTACTCCCACCATCAGATATAGCCCTGCCACAGGCCTAGGTAACACACACACACATACACACACATACACACACACACACACACACACACACACACACACACACACACACACACACACACACACATACAGATATCAAATCAAATCTGAATATTCCTGAGCAATTCAGGAATCCCTCTTTCTATCTGTTTTCATGGCATTTTCCAATTTCCATTAATTGAGACTTTAATAGCATTATGTTTTTTTCAAAGTTGTCAAATCACATCCAGTTGAATAGCAACTTATTTATTTTTCTCTCCAGGTCCTGTTGACCCTGAAGACAGCAGCAAAGAAGGCATCAGCATGTCAGCAGCACCAGTGTACTCTGAGCTGTGGTTCATCTTGTTGTTGTCTCTGCTGGGTCTGTTTCTGCTCGCCCTGCTGCTCGGCCTCCTCCTGCAAAGGTACTTTAATGCAGCATGTAAAAGGCTTAAGGCATATTAAGGCAGTCATTCATAGATCTGAGCATTTATTAACATAGTACAACAAACTCTTTGCAAAAACAGAAAGTTTAATCTGAAGGTAAATATCAACAAAAGGGTGTGAATTGTTGTATCCTCTCTAGAGCCCTGAGGAAGAATCCCTCAGCCAGAGAGCGCCCCCCGCTGGTCATGCTGCAGAAGAACAGGAAGGCTGGAGGAGAGATGTACACGGTGAGCGATAAGAGACGAGAAACAGACGCTCAGTGAACGATGACAGGGTGTTTAGAAAAAAGTAAAAGCAGGAGAAACATTAGGGAAGATAAAACTGAAGTGGAAACAGGACTGTTAGGGAGGCGTGTGGCGCAGTGGATAGAACGTTGGTGTTCGGCTCAAGGGGTCACAGGTTCAAACCCCACTGCAGTCAGCATGTCGTTGTGTCCCTGGGCAAGACACTTCACCCCAAATTGCTCCTGTGGGATTGCCCACAGTATTGAGTATGTAAGTCGCTGTAAATGTAATGTAATGTTTCACAAGTGTCTTCTTCGATTTATTGTACTCACACGGTGACAAGTTCAAAACTCTTTACGCAGATTGTACACATTTAGGTATAGAAATCCTTTCTTTGCTAATCTTTGTTCCAACAGAGGGGGCTGAAACAACAAGCAAGCTGTTCTGGGATGAGGAATCTTTTACACAAACCAAACTCTGACATCGGTTCATACAGATGTTTTTCAGGAGTAGGCACATTTTATCTGACATATTTACGATTGTTCTAAGAGATCAAACTTTTTTAGCTCTCAAATCACTCATTACCAATAACTAGTACTAACACTGCTACTCAAACAAGATTCTCCACCTTTATCCAACGTTTGATTAATAACTATTATTTTTTACATTAGTCTTACTACTATTTACTAAAGTTTCACCCACATAAGGCATTTTTTGTATTCATTTACTTTTCTCTTTGTTCTCTTTTAAATTATTTTGTTTTTGTTTCTGTATCTTTTGTTCTCCTATACCTGCCTTTTCTGACTTTCCTCCATCCTATTCTACTTTCTCCATCCTCATCTTCTCTCCTCCCCCCCTCTCCCTCTCTCAGGGGTCCTGTCCTGAGTTGTGCTCTAAGCATCTCTCCAGCTCTGTGTTCCTCACTGACCGTCCCACAGTAAGACATTTTTCTATAATTACTGACCAAACCCTAAATGTGTATTCTATTGTCCCCCTGCAGTTTGACACTGTAGCAGGCTGTGTTGAGATCAGCAACGTTGTACTTAAAAGCTTCACTGTTTACACTGAGGTACGGGATTGTGAATTTGTGTGGATGCCCTTCTACGCATGTCTGTTTTGTTTGTGCATGTGTGTGTGTTTGTGTGTGTGTAATTACATGCAATATCATAAAGGTAAGATACTGTATGTTGTGTAGTCTTTTGGTGTGTCCTACTGTGGATACCTATACTTAACTGCCATTGGTTTCCACTTATTTAGTAACGTGAACATTATATGTGGAGAGTCAGGTGGAGGAAAACTGTAATCCATGACAGTGAATGTATATCTGTTTTTTTCTTCATCAAATGTAAAACTTCTTTATGCATAAAAAAATGACTTGCAGTAAAATATAATGTATATCATTTGTAATATGGTCTTTAAGATCACCATCTGATTTAAAATAAATATTCTTTAGGGTCTGCCAGACACAAAGATAGTGGGCAGCCCCATGTCTGTCCTGAGGGTCCCGAGCCAGACAGACCTGGCCTACTCCCAGCATTCCTTGCACCGCAGCGTCAGTCAGCTGATCGACAGGAAGTCACTGATGATGGAGGAAGGAAGCTGGGACAACCCACTGGGACATGACTCTGGACTGGTGAGCACAGAAGTATTTGCATGTAAAATTAGTTTGTTAACATTACCATTAAAGTACAGTAATTACAAAGTAGGACTACATGTTGATGCATTTAATCTAAGGTCAAGAAGGATTGTAATCATTACCTGACCCTTGTATATTCATGCAAAACCAGTGGAAATGTATCTTCTGTCAATGATACAGAATAACTTGATAACATATGTACAATCAATTATTAAGATAACACAAATACAGCTACACAGGTGAGAGCAAGTGTGTTGATTTTATTTAAATAAATAGAAAATCAGCAAAGCTCATTTCATTTAGTCTAATATATTCTTAATACCAAACTGATTTTGCATAATTGCAGAAGTAGGCATTAGAAGATGACTATATTGTGCACAATATACACTCAAATAAATGAATTGTCAAAAAGTACAGGGTACAACTGGTGTCACTTGCTCTATGCTCTATGCTCTCTGTCACTTACGGTATGTTCTGTAACTGATGATATCCATGACATTATTCAAGTCCTAACTGTGATCCAATGTTTTCTTTCAGTATGTGGAGGAGGATGAGTTTGTGGACGCCATCAAAGCCTTAAGATCTGGGAAAAAGGAGCACACCATGTTCACTGACACTCATCTTTAGAAACCCTACATCTCATCAGGTATCACAGTCACCATTTAAACCAAGTTTTAAACCAAAACATAAATCCTATGCGGTATCAGCTGAATACCGGGCTTTAGACAATGCTTGACAATGCTTGAAATATATTAAATATAATGTAAGGGAATTATTCACCATTGATAAACAATAATTACTTTTCATTTGAAGTATCTCAATATTGTGCTTCTACAGTGTTACTAATATTTCAATGATAAAACAAAGTCACATTTAGACTCCTGAGGGGTAGGGATGGTAATGTTTGCTTTACTTCATCTTAAACTATTTTACACAGGTGTTTTACAAAACCGGTGTAGGACTCTCTGTTGGGACTAATAGTCTGAACTTGAGTGAAGGAAGGGATCCAACATCCATGAAAACAGATCAGACATGAACCCCGTCAGCTGAGATTGTGTAGGTTATGAGTCATACAGCTGCATAGCTTATGAGTAGCCATATCTGGATTGTAATTATACAATATCATATATGTTAAATCCTGCTCCGAGGAACCAGATTGAGAGTTGTAAATGATTGTGTTACTGTGTCTGCTTGCCAACTGTTAGTATATTTTAAAGCAGATTAGTTGTTCTCACTATTTAAATCTAAACCAGTCTCAAATAATATCAAAGGTTTCCGTCACCTCTTCTGCTTCATCACGTTATTGTGCCTAGCAATCTTTTAGTTGTAAAAAGACACATGGCCTTGGTGTTAGTTTTATGGACAAAAAAATGCCAACTGTTTTTATTATTATGAATGTGCTGGGAATCACAGATGTGCCGTCAGACTGTTGTTATTATGTGATGTGACTTGAGTGCCCGATCTGAGATTTATTTTTACAGTATCAGTAGTTGGTTTAAATTGACAAGAAACGATATAGAGAGTTTACATTTTGTTTAAATGTAGTGAAGCTGAATGTGTTTGGTTTCATATTTCATCTGTCAGTGTTAGTCAGAGTCAGTGTTGTTCATCTGTGGCTTAATAGTATTATCAAGAATGCAATCATCTTCAGAAAGATCAACAGATCTCAGCTACTTCCTGTGTTGGTGTTACAGCAGGAACGAACCCTGGGTATTTGTGGACTCCACAGATTAAGCCTTTTAATGTTCAGAAGCTAAACATGATAGAAACAGTATTTATCAGAATGTTGAATTTCTGTGTAACGTTGATGTCTTAAATTGAAGCTTTCTGTATTGTTATAATAACATTTTCCTTTTTTACACTGGCAGTATTATTTATGGTTGTTGTACAAAAAAAAAGGCTTATTTATAGATTATTCATTGATCAATGTTTGTGTTTTTTGAGAAATTATAAATAATGGTCAAGAAAAAAATAAGTTTGACTTGTTTTCTTACATTTTCTTCACTTGAAAATTATTTAAAATAAGTTGTAAAGTTAACACTGTTCCTCAAAGCAAACCGTTTTCAGCATGACTGTTTCTCCATTAGATTCCTATATGTTGTGCTCCTTGTACATCTATTCAATATCTATGTACTGTATCTGTAAAACTTGTGTGTACATTTTCAAGAAAAGTATAATTTCATCTTTCTTATTATGGCATAATAACTTGTTCTGTTTTTGATAGTACAAAAATGAGGACTATGAAAAAATAATTAAAAGTAGTAAGTGTTTAAAAAGCAGCAGCTCAAAAACCATCCATATTAAAGCTCTTAACTTGAGAGTTAGCAATATATTAATAATATATCAATATTGTCTTAGATTTTGGATACAGTCACTTTGTAATATAGCATAACTGTTGTGTGTTCCTGGTTTTAAAGGCTGCCTTACAGTAATGTAATTGTATTGTTGCCAATACACACTTGGTCATGATATCAACATTATTCATGATACATCACTAATAAAAAACCCATTATGTAGATATGTGTGTTAAAGAACCATTATTAAACCCTACAATAACTTCACAGAATGGAGTTATTTCATCAAAAAGATTGTGAAATGTGATTTGTTTTATCGCCCTCTCATAGTGATCAATTATTAGTTCTATGATGGTTAAAATATATATTTTTAGACTTTTTAGAATAATACAATTATTTGTTTGCACATACGGTTTATTGATTTGCATTTGGCTGTGTGTGTAACCAGGAGTAACATACCTGAGATATCTAGCTCAATTACAGTCCCTCAGTCTGGTCATGGTGGTGATCTAGCTGCAGATGAAATGCTGTTATTTTCTGTTGAGTTAGTGAAACACAGAGACTTAGTTACCACACAGTCACTCACAGTCACTCACACACACACACACACACACACACACACACACACACACACACACACACACACACACACACACACACACACACACACACACACACACACACACACACACACCCCAGCACAAACACACAGAGGGCCGGTGTCTCCGTCAAAACTACGCAGCAGTAATTTAGTTTTGCTCCCGCGTCCCTTCAGGGGACATCAAGGCAAGTTTGAAATTAACAAACTGGCAGTAACAACCGTACCCTCGCTCAAGGACAAGAGTCTGACAAGGGCACTTCTGAAACATTCACAGCCGCATTCACAGCTATTGTCAGCCACGCAGAGAGGGAGAGGCTGTGAAAAGAGAGCTGCTGGAGTGATTGTAAGGGACAGTTTGGCCCTGAGCAACACACACACACAGCGTTTTATTAAAGTCATAAATCACGATGACGACAGACGGCGTCTCAGAGAGGAGACTGTCTGAACGGGAAGGTTAGTGAAATGAAAGCGCTGGGGAGACACACACACACACACCTCTGTGACTGTTAAAATAATACAATCGTGCTCTTTGGCAGGTTATTCGTACAAACAAGCATTTGTTTCAGCCTGTTGTCATTATTAGTAGTCTTGTTTTAAAGGTGAAACTGCAGAAAAAACATTTTAACTGAACATTAAATGATTATGTCCCTTTGATTTCAAATGTCAAAGCTCTCAAAGCGACCACATTTAAAAATGGTGTCATCCAAAACACTTGAGATGTTCATTGATTAACATATCGTAGATTTTATGTAGTATTTTGATGTTTTCTGTTACTCCTAATTAGTTTTCCTGGAAAGCTACGATAAAGATAATGGAGCCCTGATGCTCAACATTAATACCTAATGTATTTATTTTATGTAAAAAAGGAGGACAACAATTCCCAGGCGACAAACTGATGCTATACCTTTCAGCCTTGCACTAATGCAGATTTGAAAGATATCCTTTTAAACAGCCGAAATACTGAACTGTAGTCTGGTGATGTTTTAAGAAAAACTTTGCAAATGGAAAATGACAACAAAACTATATTTCAGTAACCTCAGCTTACCTCCATTATTAGAGGAAAAATAAAACACGTCCAGTTTTGAGAAGTTTTAGTGAGTTTTACTTTAAATCGCATGAACATTGAAGCTCTGACGTGTTTAATGTTAACATCATTTGATCATGGGTGTGCACAGTAAATAATAATATAACACAATGCAGCATTTCTAACATACACAATGTAAAACAATGTACACGGTAGTTTAAACAAACATATGTTTTCCTTTTAGCTCGCTAGGATCTGGCTGTAATATAATGTAAACATAGCCAGAGAGGAACTGAGGGGTAAGGACAGACTAACAGTTATGTGCTAAAATACAATTTAAACTATATATTTTATATAAAATAAACACTAGCAATTTATTTTAATCTTAATAGTGCAAGTGCAAATGCAGAGTTAGGTCCAATAGCATGGTAATATCAATATAGGCATTATGATTATTAACAATATGTCATGAACAACAGTGTAAGTATTGACACACCATCACACACATCAATGCATCCACATTAGGATTTAGTTTTGAATATGTCTACTTTTTATACAGTTATTAGTGCATGAAAATGTACATCTTTGTACAGGCAGGGACCTGATGATGAAGATAAGCAACACGGTAAATATCGACTTAAAATATGTTTTATAGCTGCTTCATTTGGCAAATTATAATCAACATTTCAGGAAACTCTTTCTTGTTATATTTACCCTTTTTAAGTCACACATTTTTACATTTCCCCGACAGCATTAGCTAAATGTACCATAGATCAAGAGCTGTCCTGGTTTCTTTAACTCATCTAAAACAAACAGCTGTGTTAAAGCAGTGAAGAAGCAGTTGAGCTCACAAAATGGCTACTCTAATTATTAAGGTTGCTGCCATTTTTTTATCCAAAGCCATCCTTTTGGCTCTCCTTTAGGCCTTCACAAATACATCATAACCAAATGGACTTTCCAGTTTTCATATGTCAAGATTATGTACAATTTACACCCAAAGATGTTGATAATTTAATATGTACTGTATATCCATTCAAGAAACCACATATTCGGTTTTAGCCAGTTTTAAATCTATCATGAGACAGTTCAAGCTGAGTGAACAGGTGCTTTATGGCTCCACAGCCGTCACAAGCCTTTGGTCTAAATCCTTTACTATGAAAACACACACTGATAACCGTCATCAAGTTAAATAAGGCACTGCAACAGTCATCCAAAGCAAAACAAGACACATTCAAATCTGTTTCAACTGGAGCAAAGTGATGTAGTGTACCAGGTCCTTGTATTGAGTTGAGTGTAGGTATATTGTGATACTTAAAAGACTATTAAATACAAATAATCAGTGTGATATTGCGCAGGCACCACTGTGAAAAACTGAATTTAACTTTTTCTAGATGTGTGAACTAAAATAAGTACCAAATTGTGTTGATCTATTTAGAGGAGGAAAGGCCATGGACTGTACTGATAATGTACTGTATACCACAAAGCATAAATCAACAACTACAGATTTAGTTGTTTATATTTGATAGCTTTTCTCAAAATGAAACAAATTTGTTTTCAAATACTTTGTAAATAATCGTCAAATTGCTGCGTTAGATGAGGTGGATATGTTATCTCACAGGTGTGTGCATGCTGGCTCACTGGCATTGCTTACTGGGACTTACTTCCATCATTTAAAAAAAACATTTCACCTTTACCAGTTATGCTACCATAATGTTATAATAGGAACATTTATCTGGAACTTGTAAAGGTACATTTCAGGAAGCCAGCTGTAGTGAGAATGAGACACATGTTCACATTGTTGTTTCAGTCCAACATCTTTGTGTAGCAAATCAAGTGAACTTTAGCTCTTCTGCCATTGTTAAATAGTTGCCAGGAAGATTGCCAGCATGCTGGAGCTGCAAAACCTATCCTGACTGTTGGCTTTTTGTGTCATTGCTTAACAACAAAAACGTTGTGCCTCTGGCTGCAGAAAAGTGGATTCACATTAGGGTTTAAGTAGCTGCCAAGGTTACGGAAAGGGTCACATGTTTAGGGTATTTTTAAGGATAAATGTAACAAAGTTCACGTCTTGTCAGCGACACTTGATAACATCAGGAGTTTTTTAAAGGGGCCTTCTGATAAATCAAAAATCGGGAACGATTATGTTTAATCTCCATAAATCGCAACAAAAATGGCAAACTTCTGCTGGTTTCAGCTTCTCAAAAGGAGAGGTTTGCACCCATTGCTATACAATAGTCAATTGAAATCGATAAAAATAATGATTAGTTGTTAGTTTTCTGTTTGAAAGTAAGATGTAAGCTTGAATGATTTAGGTCAGTTTCTGAGCACAGTCATTCCTACCAGCCTATTAGACGATAAACAGTTTATATATTTGATAAAAGTAGAAACTGTGCCTTTGTTGATTCTGTTATCTGTTTAAAAGTGTTACACTATGAAAAGCGCCTTAGATATTTTTTGAAACCCTCATTCTGTTATTAGTGCTGTGCTTGTTTTGTTTCCATTTGTTCCTTAATGATACAAGCTGAACATCAGTGGCCTGCTTTGTGCTTCAAACCGGCAGCACAGCCTTCACAATACCAGGCCATGAAGACCTCTGTGTGCTCTGTTGTGACTGTTGTTTGTTTAGATGTAGAGTCAACAACATCGACAGAGAGCGAGAAACACATTTTAGAAGTTCTTCAAGACTAACTAAGATGGCCAATTGCGTCAGATTTGTGCCTAAAAATGCAAACCTCTTAGCCCATCAGACAGTAGGAGCTCCAGTTGTACCCAGCAGATTTTACAAGTGTGACGCAACTTGAAATCCCTCAAAAGATCCAAAATGAAATGCACTCCTGCGCTGGTTGAGATGGCATGCTGTTTGTGTGAGAAAATGCTCCATTATGGAGGAAAGACAGATTACCGATTTTTGGGTCCAAAGTGTGACACAGATGTTTGAGCTCCAGCGACCTAAATTAAGTTTAAATAAGTACGGTCCGGAAAGAAAACAGAGTATAGTAAACTCGTCCTGGGACAAAGTCAAATTAAAGCGTGGTAGTATCTTGTGTGGAAACCCAAAAGAAGAATGTCCTTCATCCACGTTCATCATGACGTGACATATTCCTCCTCTGCTGTGATACCCAGAATCCTCTGTAGAGGCGTACCTACAGGACGCCTCTACAGAGGATTTCACTGTCACAGGCTGCTGTCCTGATTGGACAGTTCGGGCGCGAGCTTCCTGTGACGCGGCGAGGTGGAGGAAGACAGTTTGGTCGGGGAGGGGGAGGCGTTGGAGGATGAGTCGCTGCCCCCCCCTTCAGATCCAGAGGTGACGGAGGAGAGGTGGGGAACTGGGGGAGCCCTCTTCCTCCCCAGAAAGCCTCCTTCCAGGACTCCTCTCTTCCTCACAACTCCCTCCGCCTTCCCCCCCTCTCCCCCTGATCCCTCCCCCTCCTCTGGCTGTGGAAACACCTTCCGCCTCACGTCACCTCCTGGAATGGGGCTGTCAGGAGACTCTGGGCCGCTCTCCGTCTTCACAGCAGAAACAGCAGCCGTTGCCGTGGCTCCGGTTATCGTGTTGGAGCTGGAGCTGGACGACCGGCAGGCCCAGAACTCCAGAGCCGAGGCCCTCCTCTCGCTGTCGTCGGGCCCGAAGTCACAGAGCGAGCGGCGGACATCGAGGGTCTGGGCGGGGCCCGGCAGGGGGGGCGGCCCGGTGCTGTCCAGCATCCCTCGACTCAGGGAAAAGTTCTGGAAGTCTCTGTAGAAATATGGATGGATGGAGTCAGTTACAGGCGGATAGATAAAATAAACAATATTCCAACAACTTGGTATTTTCCAAGCTTATATGAAAAGAGCATTATCAGATTGTGGCTGTGTTAGGGCTGTGCAATTAATCGTATTTTAATCGCGATTACGATTATGGCTTGCGACGATTATGAAAACAGCATAATTGACAAAATACGATTATTTTGCGGGGTGCGCTTTCGCCCCTCCCTAAAAGTCCACTCGGCCACGTGGGAGTGACATGTGTTGTGAGTGTTCAGCGCGAGCGAAGATGTCAGAACAAGAGCAGCAACTCGTTAAAAAGAAGGGTACAACTATTTCCACTATTTGCAAGTACTTTGCCTTTACATTTCACATCGCTAAAGATATGTGCCCAGTTAGCACTGTTAGCAACCAGGGCTTTAAGCAACTTGTCAACACGTTGGACAAGCGTTACGCAATGCCGTCTCGGTATTATTTCAGCAGGTCTGCGCTGCCTGCGCTATATGACAAATGCCGTGGGGAAGTTGAGAGAGATGTGGCTTCAGCTGACTACTTTGCTACCACAACAGACCTATGGTCTAGCCCAGGGGTGCCCAACCAGTCGATCGCGAGATGTGTCTAAAAATAGAACAACAATATTCTGTTTTATCGTTAATGTCCTGTAACATAATCTTCCTGTGCCAGAATAATGCACTTGAACGCATCAAAGCTTTGTGATTGGCCGGCGTCACCCCATGTGTCGGGGCGTGGCTGAGGGTCTTCAGTACAGGTGGCAATATTGTCACCTGCCTGCGCTCATCTCTGAAACCAGACCATGTAAACAGGCTGGTGTTTCTTGCAAAAAATCTTTAAGAGATGACATGAGCAGCCCTACCAGCATTTGCCATGGTGGCCTAAACATTTTTATTTGGTCTTAAATTGTAGTTCAACATTTATTTCCTGTTACTTCTGGACCATGACGGTTGGCCAGCCTTCAACGTTTAACTGAGTGGAATATGTTGAATATGTTTTACCAACATGTTGGCTATATGTTAAGGAGTTTTCAGTAGGTTGTGACAGTGCACTGCATCATATTTGATTTAATTTATTTTGGTCTAATTTATTTTTATTTATCATATTAATAATATATGTTTAGTATGGTTTTGGAAGTGCGCTCCAACATATTTGTTGATCTTGTTTATTGGTAAAATATTATTTGTTTTAAAGTTCAATAAATGGTCAATGAATAATCGTGATATCAATTATTGACCCAAATAATCGTGATTATGATTTTTGCCATAATCGCACAGCCCTAGGCTGTGTGGTCCTCACTCCTGGTATTGAAAAGGCGCAGCAAGGCATATTTTCCCCTCTCATTTATTTCCTTATTAGCTCTTTATTGGCTAAAAACACTATACACAAATCATCAGGTGTAAAAAAAACACTGGAAGATTAAAAAAAAAATGCAACTGTATTACGGTAAAGTTCTCCAAATAACTGAAAAAGACTGAATTCTCACTTATCACTTGTTGTTTTGAGATTTTAGCCACAACCCTTAAACAGCAGAGGTGAATAGATTTTTAGTTTGTGGTGTCCATTACACATAAAATAAGCGTTTAACAGTTTTATTAGGATTTTTTTCCTTGATAGAGGAATAAAAACCCAAATAAAACCCAAATGATCTGTGTGGCTTCATACCATTAGGGGTCAGTGAGAAATGCTTTGTGAGGGGGAGGTGACCCTTTAATATATCTGCAGAGTGACAAAGATCGTTTCACCTGTAGCTGTGGAAGGACTCAGTGCGTCGGGCTCGGGCCAGCAGGGGGCTCTCTCTGTAGGGCCGCACCGCTCCGTAGGTCACCTGGCTCTCAGGGATGGGCTCCTGGGCCTGTAACTGCAGACTGACAGAAGATAAAAGAGTGAGACAGGTAAGAGCTGCAAGCGACACTTCACACAGTACATATTAGTTGACAACCAATGTACTAAAGACATTATTTATAGTGATTACGGTATTGAGACAGACAGTTTTCTATTTCTGTGTATAACTGTATGTATCTGTATGGCTGTTTGTCTTTGATATGGTGTGTGTGATATTCCTGTCTAACCTTGAGCAGGACTCTCTGAGGCATGTGTGGTGCAGCACAGAGGGGGCGGGGCTAATATTTGGTGTAGCGCAGCGGGAGGTGCTCAGGTCGCACTGATCCAACAGCTGCAGCAGCTCCTCCTCTGAAGGCCCGCCTACATCTGTCAAACAAAAGCAGCTTCAGTACACAGAGAAAAATATATGTAGAATGTAATCCAAGAAATAGCCTACTGTGTAACCAGAAAATAAGATTTGGTTTTGTAGGTGAGTAAAAACATCTATGGACATTCTTTCCAACTTTACTGTTATTCGTCACCTTCCTAAGTTCAGCCTCCCCTCTTTCTCCCCTTATCTGTCCCTCCCTCCTCACCCTCTTTGTTCTTCTCCTCTCCTTTGTTAGCGTTGTCCATCGCAGTGGTCAGGTCCCACATTTGGATGCCGCCGTTGCCATGACCAGTGAACAGATAGTGCCGAGGTCGTGACCCCATGCGGCTCGAACCCTCGCACTCCCGCACCATGAAGCAAGAGATGGTGGTCAAATCCACCGACTGCACTTCACAGATCCTGACAAACACACACATTTTAAAACACAGGTCAAGAGGAGAACAGCTTACAGATAAGAAAACAACAAAGAATGGACAAATCAACTAAATTAGGTAAAAGACAGAGAAGCAAGGGTGAACGAGATACAGATGGAGAATATTATACCTCTTTCCAGTCGATGAGAGCCTCACAAACAGTTTGTTGGTGATGGGGATCACCTTCTGGATGAAAACCTGCTGATCGTCTCTCTCCCCAAATGGACCTGAGAGCAGGGACCACAATCAGTCTCTACCTGCACATCAGCCTGCCATCTCATATCTGGATGGAGCAAGTCCACTACAAAATACTGTGAGGAAACCTTTTGGATTAGAAAACTGCACTCGATTTGTCTTTTTTATAAGACGATATGTCCAATGCATGGGCTCTTTGATCAAGTAAATATTTTAATTATGTCAATCCCAAACTTGCCCCTCTTTTCGAAGATGAGTATCAGACAATCTGCTTCTTACTCTCTTGAATGCATCTATCCCTCCCTCATATTAATCATTAATCGTCTTCTCTTAACTGTCTCACCAATATCATTCCCGGAGCCGTAGCTCCCGTGGCTCTCCGTCTCCTCCAGAGACAGGATTTTGAAGGAAGCCAGAGGGGTGGAGCCGGGCTGGGTGGAGATCATCCCTCTGAAGCGCGTCACCGTCCACGTCCGAACGTGGTTGTTGTCCGCACACACTGACACACACAGAAAATCAGCAAGGGATTTCAATTACAGGTATACACCCAGGTAGGTAAGAGAGAACACAGTGAGAGGATGAAGCCCCTTCCTCACCTGACACCAGATGTTTCTCAGAGAGCATGATCTTCGTCACGGGGCTCCTGTGCACGGTGAACGTCTGGAAGAGCTGGGGGCCCGACCCCACTGTCTCCGGGTGTTGCACAATCACTCTCACGGCCCCGCTGCTCGTCCCGTACGCTATCTCTATCCAGTTCCCACTCACACCTGAGACAAGAGAATATGTAACACATACACACACACACACAGAGGACGTTTTAATGGCAGGTCAGTCACTGGGATTAATGTTACCGAGCTGAATCTAAATGAAAACACATTCATACAAGCGTTTATTTTCTTCTTTATTGATAGCCGAGTTCTGGTGTACTAACTGGTTTTAGGTGTGAGGTAGACAGACAGCGCAGTGATGGCATCGTTTGAAGGGTCGTGATAGAGCTCTGTTACTAGAAGGTCATTATCCTTCATCCTCAGTGGGAACTTTTGCATGTCTGAAAAGATATCGAAGAAATGTGAATGTGTTAACAACATTTTATGAAATCAAGGTCCAGTGGACTCAGAACAATGTTATAACAAATACTTTTTGATTAAAAATGTTTTTCTTTTATAAGTTACAGTCCAAAAGATTATCGCCCTGCTCAGAATTGTGAATAATTTGTATCCAGAGTGACATAAAACTTGTGGAAATTGACTGTTAAGACTGAGGTTGCATTGCAAATAATCAGACCTGTACCTGTCTAAGGACCACACATGAAAATGGCCACAATCAGAATTTATAAAACATCTGATTGATATACTGTATGTGCAACAAGAAGGAGATTTGGGCCAGTTTTATCTGCAGTCTGAAAGTAGCTTAAGTCACTTCCAAACATCCAATGAACTGAACGGCAGGAAAAAAAATAGGAAACCCTGTGTGCACACGTGTTTGTATGTCTGTGTGTATAAACATCCATGTACCTATGTAGTAGATGGAGCCATTGTTGCAGCCCAGCAGTAGAAAGGACCCTGCTGTGTCACAACTGGTAATAGGAACCACATCTTGAACCTTGAACACATACAGAGGAAAAGGTCAACGTCCCTCAATTGAAAGCACACACACTGTACATTCAATGAAGGGTCAAATGCGTGCACACACACACACACACACACACACACACACACACACACACACACACACACACACACACACACACACACACACACACACACACACACACACACACACACACACACACACACACTAACAGAAGAGTTCATTCACTTCACTCAGTAAAACACAAACACAGAGGAGAACCCTTATCAATCATCAAACAACTCTCTACATACACAAAATACATTATAGTGCATCATTTATTCACTCATACCTGCCAGTGCTGTGTGACGGCATTCCACACCCCGACCTTCCCTGTATGGCTTGTAGCCACCAGCTGGTTCCCAATAAAGAAGAGATCGTCCACAGGTACACCGAGACTGAACACACCTTTGGGGTCGGGGAGAGGTTGGAATTAATGTGAATTTGCGAGCTTGGAGGAAAATAGATCACAAATCAGCAAGGTGGTATTAAGACACAAACATACAGTAACTCTCCGTTTACCTATCTCATTTCCATTGCCTCCATCTTGGATGTTCCACAGGATGATGTTACTTTCAGAGGCGGCGGCCACCATCTTGTCCTTGTCTCCATGCGGGCCTCCCACCACCTTGGCGTTTAGTGCGATGCGTTCAATGGTCCAGTCAAGGTAGGGGGAAGAAAACACCTGCTGCCATCCTGAAGATTCCTTTATCCTGTAGTGAGACACACATACACACATTTACCTCTGCTTCTATTCTTACAAAGAGCCATAATTAAGTGTTTTATAATATATATTTTAAGGACAGTTTTGAAGAAATAGGTATGTTTTGAAAGAGCGTGAGGATATGAAAAGTCAGCTTTCATTAGCAACGTAACTAAACGAGCAGATCCAGAGTGAAACAAACGATTCCAACTAAATTACATTTTGTGGTCTACTTGTTTTGATAAAGAAAAATACATCACTAATTTAACTTCACATGTCCATAGTCAAAGAGCGTGTGTACTGACACGAGTATAGAAGGTTTAGTGAGAAATGTGAGACACAACAGATAATGACTCCAGCTTCCTATCATAAATAATTGAATGTCTCTCCCTGATGAACTGTAGAAAGGATGAGAATTGTTTTACTTTTAACCCACCATGCTGTGGCAGTATTACCTGTAGCAGATGACATAGTGAGCATAAGCTGCTACAATCCAGTTGTGGTGTCCCGCTATGATCAGCACCTTCCTGGGGTCAACCACAGGACCTGCACATGCACACAAAATACACATAAGCACACAACTTTTGTAGTAAATGTCCTTTCGTCCCCCCTATAGTATTCATTAGTTGTCTTTATGTAAAGTACAATATAAAAAGTAGATGTTGAATATGTAGGGATCAGTGATTTTTACTTCAAAATATGGTATGATATAAAACACCCATCTGATATCGTTCTGCATCAGTCCAGAGCACACACTATTGTTTATTGTAGCTAACTTTTCTTTTCTGATGTCATCCTCAACAGAGAGCAGGCCGATGGGAAACTAGGCCTCTCATACAGCAGTGAGAAGATGTGTCAGGTCACATTAGCTCCAGCAATAATGCACACTCACAGAAACACACGCACATGTGGACATGCATAAAAGGTACATGTACTATTCTCTCGTACTGTCACACACGGACACATGTGACACACAGATAAACATGTAGGAACATACACTCGGACATAACGAATATGAAACCAAGATGTATTTTCTGCCTGTTTTCTTTTTTCTAAGATGAAGCTTAGGCTCTGTTACTTTCAAACCACAGCTGTAAGCATTCATATAATCTACAACCTAACCATGTTGTATCTCTGTCAAGAACGTTATGTTAACAATTTGGTTTCTCTTTTTCTCAGCAGGGTTAAGGTGAAACTGCTCATTTCAAAGAAACTTGGTGCAAGGGTGTAGCATGGGCCAGGAACCCATTGTATTTAGGAGTGGATCTGAATCACAGGAAACATACATGTGTTATTGGACTTTTGGCAATAGCCTTGGGATAAGTTTGTGTTCTGTGAGGGCCCTTTATAGTTTATCTTATCATTTTGGACACACTTGAAAAGATGTCCTATGTTGCTCACCCAGTTTGTGGTTGTCGTCTGTTCCAGGTGAGCCAGAGAGAGATGGGTGAGGAGGGGGACCCACGCGTGTGAAGCCCTCTGCTCCACTGGGACCCGGCCCATCAGAGGAGGGGCCATGGGTGACTGAGGCAGGCCCTGACTTACGGGCAGGGATGGCTGTCAAAAAAATATACACTGACATTTATAGATAGAAAGTTGAGCAGATTTGTATTTTTATAATGTTCTGTGAACTAAAAACAATTGTGTCAAATCCTGTTGTTTTTGGAACATACATTGAAACTTCTGTTGAGTGTATTGGTTTACTCTTTTTTCAGATCTCTTTCTGTTCCACTCAGTTGCATGTCTTTACCTGGAGGCGGCAGGTAGCCATGGAAGAGAACGCTACCACAAGAAGAGCGGTCCAGTTCCTCACACAGCAGCAGGCGCCGTACTACACACACACACAAATACACACACATAACATTCCATGAGCCCCTGATGACCAGAGAAGCTTATTACTTATTATTAATACTTGTGTAATTTCTGCAAAACAAATTAAAACACTTGTAATGCTTGAAATAATGCAATGCATGATTATATTAAATAATGCGAAATTCATGGATTTTAAACATCATACTCCAAGTTATTGTTATTCATGTTAATCATAAAGTTCATGACCTATAAAATGCTGTTTTTGAGTTGAGGGCATTGTCTATGATTTAAATTCTGTGATATTTTGCAGTGTATTGTATGTAATGCTGTATATTTGATGATTTTAAGCAGGTGATCAGTTTACACAAAAGGTAACTTTCCCATTGAGGCTCAGACAAGTTACAAAGACTGAAACAGGAAGTTTAACCACAGTAGAGCACATGGAAACAACGGTAATAAGGTTTTGACCCTGGTCAGGTGGCCTTTGAAGCCAAAACAACATTTTATGTTACACAGAAAAGTTTCCCTTGTAATACATCATTACATTATTGTTGTTTACTTTTACTACAGATGTTCAAATTGCACCACAACAAGCCCAGCCGGTACACACTACCTGGTGATGTTGACATGTAGCGACCAAAAAGTTGGCCACAGAACAAACTTGATACAACACAGTAGCATTATGTTTGTGCTAAGGATAAGGCTGCTACCTTCATTTCCTCAACAAACAAAAGCTCTATAAATCAACACACCTAAAGGCGTTATCCCGTAAAACTCTGCTTCATGTCGCAGGACGCTGATGTTGACACCCCTACAGAGAAAAACACAGCAGAAGTATTAAGTGAGACTGGTTACTACTTAAACATAATGTTTTGTTGAAGTAAACATTTAGTGAAATATCTGAATATTCTGTCTTCTTACCGCAGGTCCAATTCTTTGGTTCTTAGGAAATTCAGAATTGGTGCAAAAGCTGTGGGGTCTCGGTCTATAAATATCTGTGGGTGGAGAAACATCCTTACTGACATTGAAATAATTAAAAAAGTGAATTTGTAATTAAAAAAAACATAATTTCACAATAGGAAAGGGGATTAAATGTGATGACACTATTTATTTTATTTTATATGGTCTCAAACTGTACAATTTATTAGATGATCATACACGTATAATATAAGGGTCATGCATCATATTTTTCAGCAGATAATGTCCTATCAGCTGGAAGCTTTTAGAGAATGATTATATGTTGCCCGCAGAGACTGTCCTAGTTTATTTTTCAATAAGGAGCAACAAAGGATATACTTACAGCTCCAGTTTCATCCCGAAGAGTGGATATCCTTCCACTCAGCAAACTGGAAATTACACACACACACACACACACACACACACACGTACACACGTATACATCACTTCAGGGGACATTACATTGACTTACATGCATTTCCTGGAGACTTATCCTAACCTTAACCATAACCAACACATGCCTAACCCTAACCTTCACCCTAAAATTAATGATTCCCCTCATGGGGACCTCCATTGTGTCCCCATAAGGGAGGTGAGTCCCCACACGTGACTGTGTAAACAGATGTAGGTCCCCACAAGTATAGTAATGCTAGGACACACACACACACACACACACACACACAGTACTCCAGTTAACCCTATGACCTGTCCTGTTTCACTTATTTGCACACTGACTTTTACATGTTGACTCTACTACAGATTAGTGCTGCATCAGCATGTCTGAAAGTGTGTATGAAGAATGTCTTCATATTGACTGTACACTGCAGACAGCTGGGGGCACAGAGACTGACAGGCAGGCAGACAGGTGCTCTGGCAGATAGACTGACAGACATATAGCACGACTTGGTCAGCTGTTGTCAAACTGTGAGCTCACTCCTGTGTTTGAGTTTGTTCCAATTGTGGTATTTGCCCAGCCCCTATTGGCTATTTCCCTTTAACAGTGGTTTCCCCTCACACCTAAATAACTCACTATATATAAAGCGGACCACATTTGTAATCCCCTGACATTTACAATCACCAGAATGTTGGAAGTATGAAGCAAGACAGGGAAGAGATAATGGAACATCAGTACTTAACATTAATTATATAATACAAGGTTTGTTTTATCGGTTTGCATGAGCACGCTCACTGAGCTTCGATCTATTTTTGGTGAAACTCATACATGCCATAGCAATCTTGCAGTTTAATTAGCCTACTTTCAAGGGGTTGTCTAGACATGTTACATTTTCTCAATTAAAATGTGTCAGGTTTACGCCTGCTTAAAAATATGAACAGTATGTGTTAAAAATGGACTTACTGCAGAAGTCTCTCTGTATTTAGTTTTTTCCTTCTTTATTAAACACAGCCAGATACTTCTAATAATTAATACTCTTAAACTGCACTCATGTAGCCAGTGTTTCAATTGCTTTTTTTATTATTATTTCTAACACTTCACAAAGAGTCAATTTTGTTTCATGCATCATCTGTTTTTGAAGAGAGTCCAATAAATCCACCTTGAGAAGAAAGAGTCTGGGATCCACATCAGAGTCTGTCTGGAGGTGCTGAACCTAAGATATAAAGACAGAATAGCACAATCATTACAAACACTGCGAGAAGGAAAATGTAGGGTCAGTTCACTCTTTGGCATGACAATGTTAGATGGTAATGGCATGCCAGAAAAGGAATTGCCTTGTACAGTAGCCTAAGGTCAGATTAAATGAGTGAATAGTGCATATATAATAAGGACATAACCTTAGTGCTGTATCTACTTCAGCTACAACCATGACTGCTTGACCATAAATATTGTAAATATCATCATACACGTAGGTAGACAGAGCTCAATGTCCCAATGACGACCATCATCTGTCCTGTTGATGATTACCTTGTCCCACCGACATTTAGCTGAATGATCTCTCCCATCCCAGGCGTTAAGTTGATGCCATTCGTAGCCATGATGACCGAGCCACTGGGTTGTTGTACGGGAAAGTCACTGTTTCGTTATAATTGTTACTGTCACGACGACAGCTAGCTTGCTAACACCCCTCAGCCCAGCCGATGTCCCGTCTGTCCCCAGCCTCACAACCTCTCCTTCGTCCCACCTTCCATTAAATATAAACGATCTATACGGACAGCCTCGGTATCTTGAAGCCTCCGCATAGTGGGCGAGGGGAAACAGGGGGCCTTTTTATCCAAAAGGCAGCCACACAACAATTCCTTTATTTTCCAGCGAGCTAGTTTGCATCACTGCCTTGCATGTAAATCGTGGATAACATCTTGCGCAGAATATTAGCAACGTGAAACAGCTGTACAAACCGTATACAAGTTAGGCGAGAGCGTTCACCTCTGACAACTTCCGGTTTCACCTAAACGACAGATATTGAACCCCTAGAAACTTATTTTGTTGGAAAAATGAATACTTAAAATAGGAATTCTGCATTAAATATAAGCGGTTAGTGGTTAGTGAAATCGCTTTGTCAGATATAGACACTTTACATAGATGTAACAGTAGGCCCTTAGGCTAACTGCAACCCTCAAAGAGCATTATGGACGTGAACTATCTTGGTCGCTCTTTTATCAGTTCAACATCAGACCCAAATGGACTTGAGAGCGCTTGATTTAGTAAAATAACACTTGGACGGCAACTGTACTTAGACGGGACAGAAAACGTACTATATTCACTTTTCTTCTCTCCGGGGTTTTGTAGTGCGCCAATTCAATTATATAATGGTTTAATACGTTGCGTTGCTAGAGTTAAAGCTTTAAAAAAAAGTATTATGTGGTCGACTTTACAGACTGTGATACACCTTTAAAGCATTGTTTTAATATAATAATAATAATATAGCACTACTAAAGGGAAACATTTACCCTGGTATTCAATGTAATTTCATCATTCAAACTTAATTTATTCTGCTTATGTTGGTGGTCTGGTGGGGGTAACTCTACATGGCGCTGCTCTACACCGCTGCGTTTTCTGCACGCAAACAAGCGCTCCTTAACTCCAGCCCTGCCCCTCCCACTTCAGCTCAGAGAACTTGAAACCCAACAACATATTTTATGACGAACAAGCTAGCATTTTTGTCTTATGGCATCTTTTTTTACTGCTTTTCCATCAGTATGTAATCCAAGGCTATTTTATCCAAGGTAGTTTTCTGTTCCACGGTGAGTTTTTTTAAACTTTGGGCTAGCTATTTGTTTATTTACCTTTTATTAGCATGTTAGCCGAGGGAAAAGTTAGCACATAACTGGTAGGCTGAACTTCTCCTAGCTAGCGTTGAACATTAGCATGAGCCTTCTGAAGCTAAATTAGCTACAACAGCTTGTCAGTTTTCACTAGTTAATGTTTAGTGTCCTGTAAACGCCAACTCTCTGCCTCTGACTCTAAGCTAGGTCACCAATAAACGTCCCCTCTCAGTAGGTAACGTTAGGTAGGCTAGTTGGTAAAACACTAATGTACGTTAGAAGATATCTGGTGTAAAGTAGATTTACTCAAGTACTGTACTAATGTACAATTGGTAGGTACTTTAATTGAGTATTTACATGTTCTGCTACGTTGTACTTCTACCCCACCACAATTCAGAGGTAAATATTGTACTTTTACTACACTACATATATATATATATATATATATATACCTTTAGTTACTTCGCAAATTTGGATTAATGATGTGAAATATAATCAACACTTAAATTAGGCTTTGGTTACACCTGGAGTAAATTCATTAGCTACCCTGCCGTATACAAAGTCTATTACAATAGGCTGTACTTTTACCAGCTTTGATAACATTTTAATGGGTCAATAGCTATAATCAAAATATATATATGTTATTCTGAAATGGGACAATCTGCATAATGAGTAACTTTACTTATAATATAATAATAATAATAATAGATTTAATTTGTTAGCGCTTTTACAGGTGCTCAAAGACGTTTTACATATATATATACATTATGGTACTTTAAGTATATTTGCATGCTAATAGCTCTTTACTTTGACTTGATTAATATTTTGATTGCAGGACCTATACTTGTAACACGGTATAACTACTCTCTGGTAGTTCTACTTTTACTTAAGTACAAGATCAGAGTACTTAAGGTATGATGAAATAATAATTTATTGTCAGATCAAGTCTGACCTTTGTCTTGCATCACAGCTGTACCATTTGCATCAACATCAAACAAGGACAAATATTAAGACACAATACAAGGAAAACAAACATTTAACATCACATCACAATCTCTGAAGAGAAAACATGCTCGAGACCCTCTAACTTACATTTGACCTGGGATTTAACTCTGTATTAAACGTACTTCTTCCACCTCTGAAAAATATTATTATAACGTTACTTATAGCCCAATGATTTCAAATCTAAGCATGTCATTTGTTTACAGCCCTCCCTCCTTGAGCTCTACCTCGTTTAAGCCAGGACAGAGAAGAACATGGATGTGTGACGAGCTCAAACACAGAGGAGAAAGCAAGGACGAGGCTTCCTATCATTCGCTGGGAGCTTAGGGAAGGAAAGGCTGCCAGCATTCAAGTTGTGTCATGATGTCGGAGGCCGAGGAGATGGGAGCTCCAGGCACAGAGGGAAACAAGCCAAATGTCACGACAGGACACATGCCTAGTAGTATTCAACAGGTAGAAGCATCTGTTGCTTCGCCCGTGGCCCCCATACAGCCTCACACCACCACTGCAACTGAGGATGATGATGAGAGCGAAGATGAGTCGGAAATCCTGGAGGAGAGTCCGTGTGGCCGCTGGCAGAAACGCAGAGAAGAGGTAATGGCGGTCAGGAAGCTTCACTCTGATGGTTAAAGTGGAAATGATGGACAAAGTTTGAACTGTCCGACACAGTCATTGATTCAAAAGATGACGCATCACGTTTATCTGCTATCATCAAAAGGGAATTACCAAAGTCCTGAAGCTTAGTAGTTGATTAGATCAATGGATGCAGGAATATTTTAAATGAAGATCATATCACTTTTTCAACATAAAAAGAACAACCTCCTCCGACATCATTTTCAAATTGCTATATTTTAAAATATATATATTAATTTCGCACTATAGTCAAATATCTATACATATTCAACATTATCTATTTAATAATATATTGATGTTTTCTCCTCACAAATTGGTCTTTAGTGAAGAATATTGTTACGGAGATTTCCAAAACTCAATTATACCTGGTGGGAGTTACTTTCAAGCTTTGTGTTTAGTTATAATATTCCGTATGTTTGGTACAAGCATCTCATCATCATGTCAGCTCAAACCGGAAAAGAATAGCAGACACTGTTTGCCATTCAACCGTTTCTGTGTCTTTCGTTTGCCTATATAAAGAGGTGCAGTACAGCGCTGCACCATCAGTGTCTGATTTATTAAAACAACAACCTTGTAACTGAGAAACACTTAAATGCTACATTTCAAATGTTTACAATCCATCACTAAATTCATGGCAAACCAAATTTAACATCAAGCAATAACACTAAGACGACATTAGTTGCTTTGAACTGATCTTTTTAAAAAGTTGTCCTTACAATGTAGTGAAACATGGGCTTGAGCTTCACTGAGGATCCGTGTCATTCTGACAGGGAGGCAAACTGCAGTTATTACACTCTGCGTTTTGAAATATGTGTAACTCTGTTAATATAAAACCCACACTGCTCAAACTTCCTTACTTTTCCCCAAATTGGTATATTTATTTATTTATTTATTTTGGGGTGTGGGGAATGAAGAGAAAAAAATATATGAGCATTTTATGAGCATGGGATTTTGACCCCTCATTCCTCATATAAACATATGCATAATGCTGCGCTATACTTTGCGGCCACAAGCCGTTGCCAAGCAACGCTTATTGTTTAGGTGTCCTTTGATAAGCAGGCAGTCATATAATTAACTAGAACTAGCTAGATCTGACAGATTTGGACATAGACGCGAGTGAAGTATAACCGGATGAGAGAGAGAGATCAGATCAGCTGCTGCTGACGGAGAACACGCAGCTCTGCATAATCACAGCTCCGCCGCTGTGACGGACCGTTGAGTGGAGCAAAATTAAATACACTAAGAGTTAGACCTAACACGCTTAGCTTGTTTATCTACTCTGGAACAAGCTAAACTAGTTATACATATATTTAGTCTTTACTGTCGGGTCACTTATTACAGGTTCAGCGAGCTGCACGAGACTGACGGGCTGTCGGGAGAGGGAGAGGAAAAGAGAGCACCCCGTTTATTTTCCCCATTTTATTATCCAGAGTTACTGTAAACCTTTGAATAAAGTAGGTAATCTACTATTAGTAGTTTGTGTAAATGCATTAATTATGTTGTTTTTTTCATTAATATAAAATAAATCTCACGTACCCCCTGCAGTACTGCAACGTACCCCTAGGGGTCTGCGTACCCCCATTTGAGAACCACTGCCCTAAGCTATTCTTCACTTGTCCTGTAGGTGAACCAGCGTAATGTCCCAGGGATCGATGCTGCGTACCTGGCCATGGACACAGAGGAAGGGGTCGAGGTAGTGTGGAACGAAGTCATGATCTCAGAGAGGAAGAACTTCAAGCTGCTGGAGGTGAGGCCCACTGGTACAATAAAGGTATCAAAAGGGTACAAGTATTGCTACGGTGTTGTGGGAAAGTGAGAAATCATTCATGATTACAGATGTTTAGCCTTAGTACTTCATTCACATATACAGGATCAAGAATAACGAGGTAAAACATATTCACTACAGTGTATACAAACACGTTCTTGTTGTTCTAATGACGCGGTCTGTAATGTGGAGAAACCAGTGTTATTTGAATGCACTATAACATTGATATAATATTTTAAGTATCATACATTTAGATAGTCCTTAATATACTGTTGCATTACATGGTACGTGGTAGGAATGTCTTTGACTTATCAAAGGAAGACATTCCTACCTTTTGTGAAAAGTATTTAAAAAATGCTCCCCTCTTGTCCTGCTGTTATAAGAAGGTACACACTGTCCAGGTTAACGTAACCATGTGCAGGTTAATAGTGTCATGTCTGGCTCTGTGTTGTATCGGGTTGCAGAAGCTTGAGTTAGGAAGTATTTAGCATTTTTCTTAAAGTATTTGTTGTATTGACTAATCGAATCATGTATGTTTTATTTGTATTATCACTGCTATTGTGAGTTCACTGTTGTCACCCCTTGGCTTGCTAGGAAAACTACCAGAAGGTCAAAACTGTGGAAATGTGTACTTTGTTTACATACATAGTTCTGCCAGATATACTACCATCTACCCATTGGTCAGGTCAAGTCAAAGCAGAATGTGTTTTGTTTTTTCATAGCAATATGACATATTATTATACTTCACTATATTTTGTT